GGGGGGGGGTCAACCTCAAATGTATTGATGCTTATGCTGTACTGGAGTGGGAAAATGATATGAAATTCCACATATTTGCCACCAAACACAAGGCTAATACATAAAACGAACAATCGACTCACTCTGATAACTGTGTTTTGTTTCAGAGTTGACCCCCCATCACTTTTGTGACATCATATGAAACCCAAGAATAGGCATCTATTTTGAGATGTGTATTAGTCAGGTGTCCATATTAGAGCAATGACTGTGTTAGAGAGGTGCCTGTACATATTAGAAGGTCAATTTCAGTAATTGTACTCCTTGGCATTACATTTTTTCTACCTTATTAGTATTCCATCCACCACCACCATACACGCCTCTACCAAACACGTCAACACCAACATAAACATCGTATCGTCTCTCGGGGCCTGCTGCTCTTGCGGAAAGTGCCAAACTTGTTTGATTCCAGCCATAGTTTAGGAATATCCCATCAGATACATCAAAAAACACTCTACAAAAAAGTATTAGTTACAGCTTACCTAGATTTGGGGTTGGTTGCTCCAAACACAAGCAGGGCGCTTTATTTTCTAAGTCACATTCTAGAAGTGCTCTACTGGTTTTACTCAACCAAACATTGTATATTTCTGATTCCTTCTGTAGAAACAGACAAACAAGGGGTAACCTAAATGGACCTCTAGAATAAAAAGTTTACAACTGATTAAATTACACCTATATTTTAGATTTACTGTCATATACTGTATGCCAGCCTACCTGTTTTCAGCATTCAGTTTATTTTGCCATTTCAGTTCGCCTATGTACGTCACACTGTCATACCAAATGATAAGAGAACCAGGCACGACTTTGTGCATCTGATCTGTTAGATATTTCATGAATTCCACCAAATTGTTCATTTGTGCTGGCTGAAATAACAACAAAACGCAAATTCACAATGTTTAGTGCATTAGTCTATTTTTCACGCCAAAAAAAACAATCGCTGTACCTGTATTTGGTTTTCAATATTTATTAACCATCCGTCAAAGCTATAATACTTTGCAATGAAAACCAACTGATCCGCAACTCGTCTGTAAGACAACTGATCTTTAAATATCTCGGCACACCTAGCAGCGCCATCCTCCCACTCTGTGATAAAGGTGCCTAATACTAAAACACCATGCTTGTGTGCAGCATTTGTCCAACATGGAGGAGGAATACTTATAAAATTATGACTGAAGTATATGAATATGTCAATGTATTGCCAGTGGTAAATGCGGTAGCATTCGGTTGAAGGACAGCCTTGCACAAACCTAAAACATAGTACATTCCCATTAACGGGCCGTTAGAGCACAAGAACCCCCTTGACACGTACAGTGGTAAACTAGTATATATGGACACATTTTGCTGTGTATACTATGCACATATTGGTAGATTGTCTGGTTAACTTAACCCAAGCAAGAAACTCATCTCCCCTTTGCAGGGAAAATTGTCTGGCATTAGGCACAGAAAATGATATACTAGAGCACATATGTGCGCATTCCGCAGGGTATACTAGACATATTGGTACACTGTTTGGTTAACCATTAAATGAGAAACTTTCCCCTTGACAAGTAAAATCATCTGGTGTTAGACATAGCAAAATAAAAAAGTAGGGTACATTACCCCTTAATGGGTTAATGTCCACCAAGTAAAATCATCTAGCAATGTGTTGCACTGAACAGTCTAGTTTTGAGTTTGATTTAGCGTTGGGGTTAGGATTGGTTTTCGCTGTAGGGTTTAGGGTTGTTGGTGCCTTGTTGATTCATTTACATTTTAACGATATTGAAAACAAGCCGCCAGCATTTTAATGACCTTCAATAAATAGGTGGATTTTGCTGAACACACACTGTCACACATCAGATGATTGGCAACTGACCAGTTGGAAGGCAAATGAATAAACTTGCTCACCTCTATCAGTGTCAATATTTTTAGGGGTGCACCGGATTTGGAATTTTCAAATCCGGCCGGAACCGGATTTACCGGATTCGGACAAAAATTCCGGCCGGAATTCCAGCCGGATTTGAGATAAACCGGTAATGGGGATAAATTGGGATAATTCAGTATTCAAAATGGCGGTTTATGTTTTTTACTATTTTTAGTTAGTGTCAGTTTAGATTTTTTATTGTGTTTAAACCTTTTTTAAATATCTTCTTGTTAATAACTTAATATTTTATAATAATATTAAGTGTTTTTTAAACTTTAAAGCTGCCAAATTGATGGTTTATCCCATTCTTGGTCAATATTTTAAGGTGAAAACAGAAATTTAAATGCGGCCGGATTTTCTACAAATCCGGCCGGATACCGGAAAATTCTTTAAATCCGGCCGGAATTCCGGCCGGATTTGAAATCCGGTGCACCCCTAAATATTTTGGAAGTCGACAACCATCTGATGCTCTATAATGCTTACTGCAAACAGCCACCTTACCTATCCTGTAGATAACCTTCTTTCATATCATGACAAACGATTGTTCTCGGACGTTGTTCTAAACTATTCCCAACCCTCTCTAATGACACCGAGCTCACATTTAGCTCATCGAATCCTTCGGTCCATGCCAACAGTTCGTCCAAATTAGTTAATGGCCGTGTCACAGGGGCGGATATATCATTGAAATCTGAGTTCGACAATGTGACCCATTTTCTTGAATTCGAAGGTTTGTTTTTAGCTGCGGGCTTGTAGGCACTAGATTGGCCCTGTACTCCTTCATTTCTAGAACCTGAATTGTCTGCATTTAATATTCCTGGTAGATTAATTGAGTTTAATTCGGTGTCTACAGAGTCTCCTTGTGTCTGAAGCCCTTGATTTTCCCCAATATCACCCACATCTTCAGATCCATTTATAATAGATTGGTTCTTGGGTCCTTTCTGCACGGAGCTTCGATCATCATCGAAACCTCTCGCTTCAAATCTTTTGAGGCGATTTTTAAGCATGTCTGCCCGTGAGAGTGCAGGTCTATTCTTCCCCTCATTTGTTAAATTGTTTCGCTGGGTATGCCATTTCCAAAATAGATAGGAAAGCAATAATATCACCGATGTTGACAAAAGTGCAACAATGAAATCCGCCATATTGTTTTGGAACGTGTCTTCTCGGGATTTGTCGTAACGTTTTCGTATTTTGACGGAACTATAAGTTTCCCCTTGGGAATTAAAATGGAGAAATAGGAGTGCAATCTTTCCAACCAATCACGTGTGTTAGATGTGAAACAATCAGGTGATCATCTCTTGGTCTCCGCTATACTTACTTTAAATTAATAGATAAATTGTTAGATAGAATACTCAGGATGTTTTAGAGCTAAATTTAGACTTTTTCAACTTGTACGAATTTTTTTTTTAATTTTTTGTTTGTGTCGATAATTTGCTTAGATATAATCCCTTTTTATTTCAACTTATAATTTTCCCCATTGAAAAGTTCTTGCACGAAGTTTTTTGTTCAAACTGTTTTAGTGCACGATATACTGTATTTTCTTTCTGTTTCCCCGTGCAATTTTTAATTTTGCTCCCCCCCCCCCATCACTTTTGTAATGGTACTCCCATTTTTGGCCAACATCTTAAGAGGCAGTCTCTGTAAAAGCGGTCCACTGCATTTCGGATCAGAAAATAGTTTTCTCCCAAATTTTTACCGTGAAATAGCACATACCAGTGAGTTATGAAACTGACTTTGGTTTTTCAATTTTCATAAAAATAATTTTTTTACAGCGCTTTAGCTCCAGGCGACCGTGTTCGCCGACTATCAGCTCATATTCGACTCGAGTTCGTAGAATAACTGTTAAATATCCGATATTCTTATGTCACTTAATTGACTTAAACGTAGGAAAAATAACCAAAACACATGTGCATATTCCACGACGAAATCGACCGATCTTACTGAACGTGACTTTATATTTTAAGGCTTAAAGTGCTTATGAAACGAAATTTTTACCTCATTTTTTATTGTCTTATTAAAAGGTACTGCTTAAATGCTTTGCAATAGTGGCAAAACAAGAAAATCTGATATCTTGATGATCATTTAATAAAATTCAATGAAACTTGGCACACTTAGTGCGTGCAACGAAGTGAACAATTTGGCTTGTTTTTGTGCTTCTTATGGCAACACACTCGTCACCAGTCCCCTCTCTTCCAATTTCTATATGATCCATTTCCAACGAAATAAATGGTAATTTCTGCAATTGTCGCTTATTACTATCATACGTATCGATATTGTGACCAGTTTAAACCGTTATAACATACAAACATCCTCTGCAAGAGGTCTACGGGAGGAAATTTGTGAAAAGGAAGAAAAGAGATTGGGCACTAGTGTGTTACCATGACAACCACATGACCTTCCAAAAATATTCATATGGGTGCACCCACTAAGTGTACCGAGTTTCATTGAATTTTATTAAATACTCACTAAGATATCAGACTTTCTTGTTATTGCCATTATCTCAAGTCAAACTAGTGACGTCACAACTCGAAATTTGGAAAGTGCGATAACTTGAGAATGAGATGAGATATGAAGAAGCTGTAAACGTCATTCTTCATGGCCCTAGCAGTACTTTTTAGCAAAGCAATAAAAAATGAGGTGAAAATTTCGTTTCATAAGCACTTTAAGGCAGCAAGTGATATTATAATTTTTAAAACATTTTGCACTTTTATTTTAATATATTCTACATAGCAACCTCGAACTTGCTTTTTGTTGATTTATAAATCCTGACATGACACATTAAGACATAAAAATAATTAGAACTATAGTATTTACCTGAATTGACGGGCGACTTCTAGAATGTCATTATTAATTATTCTTTCGGAATTTTTTTAGCGTATAAGACCTATTGCCCCTATGGCCATGATGAAAAATCAAGGGTGGGTAGTAGAGAAGTAGTTGTCAGTGCCGTCGCGAGGAACTCGCTTCAGGGGGTGTTTGGTTAAATCTACCTGAAAGTATCAAAATTTCGAATTTTACCTGAAAATTTTTTTTGTTACCTGAATATTTTTTTTGGTGCCCCCCCCCCCGCAAAAACATTTTCGGTCAGTGTACCATTTTAGAGGTAAAAAAAATTTTCCGGACATATCAAAATTTATCGCGACATAAAAAAAAATTTCCAGACATCACAAATTTTCTCCGTTTATCTAAAAAAATTTTCTAAAATTCAGAAAATTTCTAGCATATTCTAAAATTTTTGTAAATATACCTCATTTTTTTCCAAATTAACAGTCATTTTTGTAAATTAACTTTCTCTTGTCCTAGGAATTACCTGAATTTGCGTTCATTTACCTTAATTTCTTCTGCAAATCTACCTGAATTTACCTGAAATTGCCCATATAAGCAATTATCGGGGGGGGGGGGGTACACCCCTCCCCGATAATTGCTTATATGGGCAATTTCAGGTAAGTTCAGGTAATTTCGCTAAGGCCCTGGTAGTTGTAGTTCGCTACTGCAACGAACTACAATTTTCAAATATCCAGTAGTTTTGACTATACTTTCTGTAAAGATTGTAGCTTTCGAAACGCCACATTCCGCAAAAAGCTCTGAAAACTCTAAAAGGCATGCCATGCCTTCTGATTGAATCTTAAATTTAGACTTTTAAGTCATTAATGTGTTGTTTTGTGTTGTTAACTAATTATTCGTCACATGCTGAAAGCACGTAAAGATCTGATGTCGATTTCGTCGGTAAAATACAAAGCTTGCATAATAAACAGTTAAGTATTTTGCATAAAAAATAAAACACTTCAGCTAGCAAAGCCGTCCGGCACCATTTAGTAGTAAATTTCTTGAACTTTAAATTCGAAAATAAGAAAAATTTAATGCTTTAAATCCGACTAAAATGCGGTGCGTTTCCGCCTACATGCACAAGTCAAGTCAAGTCAAGTAAAGTTATATTTAGCATACCACATCCTCCTGTCGGCCGCCAGTTGGTCCGTACGTTAGGATCAAACTGCGTTTAAAGCCTTCGAAATAAAATATTTTTGGCTCAAAATACTATCAAATTGAGGAGAAAGTGAGATAAATCCAATGGCATACGGCCGAAAACGAGAAAACCGACAATTCCGAAATTATCAAGGATCAAACGGACGGCATTTTTAATTATAGTTTAATAATGTTGAGCGATTTGTCAACAATACAATTTCGCCTATTAAAACTGCACATTAAAACCTTCAAAATATAATATTTTGGACTTAAACTACTAACAAAATAAAGAGAAAAGTGAGACTAACCACTGGTATACGGCCGAAAAAGAGAAAACCAACAATACGAAGTTAATCAAGGTCAAATGTATTGCATTTTTAATTAGTTTAATAATTATGAGCGATGTGTGAACAATACAATTTCGCTTGTCTTTCAAAGGCCATAAATCGCTAGAATACTGTTGTTTAGTAATACATTTGACATCCGTAAGTACCACTTTTCACGTTAATTCGAACGGTAGTATTTTTGTCCTTATTGGGCGCATAAAACCAAAGATAAAGCCTAGCAAACAGTCGATCATGAGAGTACCGACAACAACCAACAAATTCCGAGCACGTGCAAGGAATTTTTAGCAGGTGATTAAGGAAACGTATTGATGCGAACAAACTAACAAACGGCCGACAAACTAACAAACAGATAAACTAACAAACTCACAGGCAGAATATGTGGTGCCCAAGTTTGGGCATCGCAATTGAAGCAAATAACTCAGTGTCTTTCATTGCAGTTTATATTTACCGCCTAATGTAATTTGCATTAAAAACACAGAAAGTTCGAGGTTGTTGTGCAGAATCTAAATAAAAAGCGCAAAATGTTTTTATCAATCCTTTTTATACATCCTTAGATTAGTAGATTGGAATAGAAGCTTTAGGTTTTTTGTGCTGGACTTAGGAGATCAAAGCTATTTTCTGAGGGTCAGTTTGTCGAGTTTTTAAGAAGGCCGTAAAACGAGTATCATTGTGTATTTTTTCCTCCCCCTGCATTTCTCTCGACATTCAAAATTCCGTTTGAATTTTGCACTTGAATGAATGAACAAGACTGAGAAAAAAGATCTTGGTGCAAAGTTCTATATTCCGTGAGCTGTAATGTTTTAAATATGTGTAATTTTCAGTCGACGAAAAGTGCAAATTCAGCGAACACGGTCGCCTGGAACTAAAGCGCTGTAAAAAAATTATTTTTATGAAAATTGAAAAACCAAAGTCAGTTTCATAACTCACTGGTATGTGCTATTTCACGGTAAAAGTTTGGGAGAAAACTATTTTCTGATCCGAAATGCAGTGGACCGCTTTTACAGAGACTGCCTCTTAATAGCGTTGTCCGCAATTGACGTCACGAAAATTCGACCCCCCGCGAAGACTCAGACAAACATTGGCAACATTTAATATAAATAGTATTATGATTAAGAGCTTCCTGTGAGTTAGTTTGATAGTTTGATGTTTGTTTACGGTTTA